AGGGCTGCTGTCCACAGCAGAGCCCACCCCCTCGGCGGGACTGAGGGCCCTGCGGCACGGGCTCCTCCATCACATCCATGTGGTTCCTTTGGGGGGACACCTCTGTTCACCCCTAATCACTGTTCTGCATGCCAGGCTGTCCTCAGACCTACACCGTGGCTCTTGCCAGTTTTTGTCCTCGCTGCTCTATTAACAAAACCCTTTTATCAGTCTCGTGTCTACAGTGGCTTACCGAGTCTCAGCCATTTCAAGCCTCTTTGCAATTACCGTTTATTTGTGGCGACTTGCCACCAGGCTGTGTCTAACTGTTTGAAATGCCATTAGTGTCCCGTTGCACTTGTACAGCATTAATATAATGCCTTTCTGCTTCATAGAGTCCCCAGAGAGGGACTCAAGAGGATTAGAGTTAACAAACTCAGTTTGTAGATTAGCAGTCTCCACGCCAGGTGCTTCCTGGGGGGCAATAGCCCCATGGAGGGCCTGTTCTTGTCCCTGAGGGCACATGGGCCAGCTGGGAGGTGGCTCCTGGGTTAGAAGGAGATGACTGTGGCATTGGCCTTCTCGGGCTGCCAGACAAAGGACCACTGTGGGTGCAGGGTTGGGGGGCAGGGGTGGTGCTTTAACAACACAAACTTGTTTCTCATGGTTCTGGAGGCTGGAAGTCCAAGATCAAGGAGCCAGCAGCGCTGGTAGCTGCCAGGGGCTGTCGCCTCAGGATGCAGGCAGCCACCTTCGGCCTGTGTCCTCACGTGGCCTTTCTTCTGTGAGAGCAGCTGGGAAGACACACAGGAAGGAAGTGCTCTGGTTTCTTTTCTTTTTTTAATTGTCACCAGGGAATACATTTATTGATTTTCTTTCCTTTTTTATCTGCACTCGAGGCCATGCTTATTGATTTTAGAGAGAGGGGAAGGGAGGGAGAGAGAAGGAGAGAGAAACACCTGTGTGAGAAATATTGATCAGTTGCCTGTCGCACACACCCCAACCATCCAAACCTGCAACCCCAGCATGTGCCCTGACTGGGAATCAAACTGGCAACCTTTCAGCTTACAGGACGATGCTCCAACCAACTGAGCCACACTGACCAGGACTGTTTATTGATTTTTTTTTTCCCTGAGAGAGAGACATTGATGTGAGAAGCATTGATTGGTTGTCTCCTGTATGCACCTGGACCGAGGATTGAACCCGCAACATAGGTATGTGCCCTGACCAGAAGTTAAACCTGAAATCTCTTGGTGTACAGGATGATGGTCCAACCAACTGAGCCACCCGGCCAGGGCTTTTATTTTATTCTATTTTATTTTACTTTATTAAATTGGTGCTTCTTCTTATAAGGGACATCATGAGACTTCCACCCTTAGGACCTCGTTCAAACCTAAGTATCTCCCAAAGCCTCCACCAGATTCAGGATTAGGGATTCCACATGTGGATTTGGCAGGCGTTGGGGGTGGGGCATAATTCAGTCCTCAGCACAGCTGTCAAGGAGGAAGGACATTCAGTTAGTCCTTGGCACCCAAGCCATGTGTAGGCTGTGCTCAGGAGTGTCGGGACTCAGGAGAAAGGGGTGGCCCGGGCCAGGGTCTAGCCAATCACATTCTCCAGGAGGCCTGGGCATGTTGGCAGGGTTGCCACGCGAGGAGCTGCGAAGGAGAATTCAGATCTGACCCAGGACAGTCGGCCCCGTCCTGTGGGTGGTCAGGGCAGTGGAGGGTCCGGAGGGCTGGTGGCGTAGCCAGCCCTCTGCGCTGGGCCACACCTTGTGTGCAGAGGAGCCTGGGCCTTTGAAAGCGGCTGCCGTGTCATGGAGCTGGTGGGACGAGAGGGCAGCAGACAGCGGTAGACCCGGAGCTGGACAGGGCAGAGTAGGGCTTGGGGGGTCTGTGTGGCCCAGTTGCTACCACTGAGGAACAAGTACCCACATGGATGGGGGGGCTGCAATGAGATCTTGCAGGGCCTGGCTCCTGGCCACTGGGGACCCGCCCCAGCTCTGCCCCTGGGCTAGGCCTGGGGTGACTCCCTGTGCTCTCACACTTGGCGTCCAGGTGGCCACTTAGATCTTGTCCTTCGGACCCTGATTGTTGGGTCACCTAACAAGGACAATCAGGAGCCAGCCCTTCCCTGGAGCCGGTAAGTATAGTCCAAGACGAGGTTACACAGCATCACAGGAATCTATTTATTTGGCAAATCAGATCGATCAAATGATTTTCTTTCCAATTACTGTACTAATTTCACACACATACAAGTAAGAAGTATGGCTCAGGTCTTCTAGGAGTACAAATAAGGTCACATTTATTATAACATCTCCAAGTTCCACTGGCTTTAGAAGCAGGAATTGCAATCTCTTCCAAAGCTAAGTTCAAGGTTTTCCAACTCACCGGCTGCCACTTGCTGCAGGATCAGGCCCTCGGATGCATCTGTACCCTAACTTTGACCCTGACCCTGACCCTCTGCCCCTCCTTTGCCCATGGGGTCCAAGCGCTGACCCAGGGCTGGGCTTCAGCCCAGCAAGTGGATCTGCTTGCAGAACAGGCTGGCCTGCGGTGCTGGGCCTGTGCCCACTCTGGAGGACCCTGATGAGTCCTCTGTAACTTTCAGGCCAGGATGAGTCCCCATGAGGAGAGAGAAGAGGCCCTTCTCCCCGCTTCATTGTGTTGGGATCATCAAGGAGTCCCCAGCGTTCACCTGCTAGTCCACCATTGTCATATCAACTCAAGACCGCAAATGCCTGTCCAAGGACCTACACCTTCTAGTTACGCAGCTCTTGAGTCAAGACTCCCTCCCCTCCTCCCTGTCACCTGGCTCGGGCAGGGTCATGCTGCCCCCACATAAACATGTTTTAGGCACATAAGCACCACCGGGGATGATAGGTACTCAGGGCCCTGCTGTCCCTTTCCCTTAGGAGGACTGGCTGGCCCTAAGCACACACTGGTAGATACAACTGCGGCATAGAAGGGACCAGCTGGGAAGCTCCCAGTCCCAATGCAAAATGAGAAACCGGAGGAGGAATGGTCCCCAATTCCACCCGCCCCTGGGCTCTGAGCCCAGGCCAGCCCCGCATGTCCTGCGGGGTACCACAGCCTGGCTTCCTGAGAATAGACAGGTGTGTCTCTGTCCAGGATGGCCATGGGCAGTGCGGCCTGCGGGCCGTGGGGAGTGCCCGGGGCTTGGGGAGGCTGGGTGAGACTCACCTCTGGCTCTGTGGAGCCCCGGGCTCTGGCTGCTGGCCCCTGGAGGCCTGGTTTAAGGGGCAGGAGCCTCTGGCCCTGGGCAGCCTCAATCCTGCACAGCCATCTACACCCCAGCATTGATACTTCCTCCCTCTCCCTTCCCCCCCGTCCCACGGAGTACCCCCCAGCTGAGTCCGCTGCAGGGGGCAGCCGGAGGGCTCCCGCCCTTCCAGGGCTCTCAGTCAAGCTGGGGAGACTCAGGCAAGAAGCAGCTTGGCCCTCAGCCCTTCCTGCTCGCCCCCACCTCCTCACAGGACTCCATGTCACCAAGGCATGGGCAGTTGCCCAGGCTCCCCTCTTCCTCCCATTAGGTTTTTATCTAAACTGTCTCTTCCTTCCACAGGGCCACCTTACCCTCATGTCTAGCACTTGGCAGGAGAAGCCTCTTATCCCTCAGGTCGGAAGTTGTTGCTCTTCTTCCGGAAGAAGAAGCAACATTTGTCTCGTTTGTCACTTCTCACCTCACTCACTGCATCTTGCAAAACTACCCCGCAGTTTGATGCATCCTTGAAATCATTTGACTCTCTGGAGCTGCTGAGTCATCGAAGGCTCTCAGCTGTCACCGCCGCTCCTTCCGATCATGACTGAAGCCCCAGCCAAGCTGTGATTCAATGGTTTACAGTTTCCAACTGGAAACTGCCAAGAGCCTTGTGCCCGCCAGGTGGGTCCTCCATTCCTGGCTGACTCATTTTCTCCCCGTCCCTGGCCACTGGAGGGGACAGCTCCCCGGACAACGCCGCTGTGGCCAACTGCCCAGCCGGGACTCAGGTGGGCAAGGTGAACACATGTTCCTTATTCTCCTCTGGCTGAACCAAATCCAGCCTGATTCCTTCTCATCATTCTCAAAGAAATGAAGTCTAAGGGACAACCCCCCAGTCTGTTGAAGACAGCGAGCTAGTCAGGTTCAGGAAGGTCCTTTCCCCCTTTCTCTGCAAGGTCGTTGGCCAACAGAGCCCCAGAAGGGACTGGAATGTACCAGTCTGCTCCACCCCCGGATCCCCAGAGTATAAAAGTAGCTTTTCCATCCCTAACTGTTGGGTGGGGAAGGGGGGGCACCGGTGGGGCAGGCTGACAGAATTCACGACGAGAGCAAAGGGCGGAGAGCGCAGTTTTCATTCACTCTCTAAGAGAGGCGAGGGGCATAGCGTGGAGACATACAGCAGCATTGAGGGGTGGGGGCTTAGAGTTTTTATTGGGTCATAATTGGATTAAAAGGGCGGGGGGGTGCTGTTGTGTGATCCCTGGACCGTTGGGGACATTGTAACAGGAGTCTGCAGTTTGTTCCAATGTTCTCTTCTGCCTGTGGCCGTGGGAGTGGTTACTTCTGTTCTTTCTTTCCAGTCATTTCCAGTCCTGGGATAAGCTCAGAAGGGTAAAATGGCAGCCGTGTTTAACAAGGTCCCAGGCCTGCTCAGGAAATGGTGCCACGGCAGCAAATGGCAATGGCTTTGCCCTTTGACCTACCGCTGCATCTCAGCCCCGGACACCCGCCACCACGACCACCCTTCTCGATTCTCTCTCTGAAGCCCTCTCTTCCTTTCTAGAATTGTTCAGTCTAGCAGAAAATAGGGGAGAGCTGGGAACTAGCCTTGTTCAGAGGGTCTCATTCTCTGTCTCATTTTTCTGCCTCATACCTTTTGGACTGAGAAATCAAGAATTCATCCAGTTCATAGGCTCATCAGAAATCCCCAAACACTGGGCAATCCCTGGTGAGCTGTCTGGGTGCACGAGAAGGTCTCTGAGGGATAGTGAGCAGACACAGTGTTCACTGAGCATCTAAAAGAGCACGCTAGTCAGTGCCCCCCGCATCGTCCCGCCGCAGCATCCCGGAACAGGATGTCTGCTGCTAGGACTCGGGGCTGGAGTTTCCCTTCTCTGAGGAGGGCTTTCCTCCCCGGCCACAGTAGTCAAAGAGAGGTTCACCTGGTCTTTGGATTTCTGCGGGGCCTTGATGCCCGTGCGGAATTCTTTGATGGTAAAGTAATAGCAGAAAACATCCAGGCAGCAGTTGACGTTGGAGAGACACATGGACAACTTCAAGAACAAGCTGATGTTCTGCCTAGCTCTGCACTCCACAATAAAGTTATTTCTCACCAGGAACTGCAAGAAGCCAGCCAGGTGGACTGGAAGGAAGGAGACCACGAAGACAACCAGATTGGATGCGATGGTCCAGATGCAGGCCCTCTTCAACTGACTCAGGGCCCGGCGGGGGTCCTGGCGGGGGTCCTGGTGGGGGTCCTGGTGGGGCTCATGACGGCGGACCAGAATGTGAATGCTCCTGGAGGAGCAGAAACCCATGACACCCAAGGGGAGAAGAAAGCCAAACACCTCTACGGGGAAGACGAGCTTGGCACTCCAGATGCTACTGGACATATTGTTGAAGCACGTGTACCTTTCCACTTCCCCGCTGAAGTTGTAGAAGGGGATACTCCCGACCCACACCAGGACCCAGATGGTGCAGCAGATCCCGAAGATCTTCCTGGGGGACCGGCAGTGCCTGACCGGGATCGGGTACTGGATGGCCACATATCTATCCAGGCTGATGAAGCAGATTGTGAGGATGCTGCCATACATGCTGATGAAGTAGAGGCACTCCACCAAGGTACACAGGGACGGAAAGGGAGCCTGCTCGTAGACCAGGACAACCTTGAACAGGAGGGAGAGCACCATCAGCAGGTCAAAGACCGCCAGGTTGATCATGTAGATGCTGGTGGCAACGTAGTCTGACAACTCCTTCCTCAGGAAGGTGCGGAAGCGCTGGATGGCCAGCAGATTGAGGACCAAGCCCAGGAGGAAGGTGGGGATGTGGACCACCAGCTGCACGGTTTGCATCAGCCGGTCCACATCAGCGAAGGAGCAGTTGTTACCTGGGTTGGACTGGCTCATGTTCTTTCCTGCAACATCAACAATGGATTAGTTGGAGTTCCTCTCACTCTCTAGAAGGGATGGGTTACAACGGCTTTGTCAAGAATAATAGACACTTCCCCTATATCACACAGCAATTCGTGCTCGTTTAATAACAATGAGAAACCCAGGAAAGAAAACCTGCTCTAATTCTGCTGCCTAGAACCACTGCTCCTTTTTCATGTAGGTTCATCCAGATTCTCCTTTCTCTCTCTCTCTCTCTCTCTCTCTCTCTCTCACACGTGCACATGTGTGCCTTTCTCTTTGATGAAAATGAAACTGTGCATGAACATCTGTCTTTCTTTTCAATCAGAGCTCCTTCCCTCGAAGGTAGTAGCAACAACAGAAACCCTGACCCAAACTGGTTTAAGCAAAGAGAGGATTTAACGTAACTGAAGATAGGGAAACTAAGGCAGGGCTGACTTGAGCTCTCTTTCTCTCTGTTCTCCTCTACCCACATTCCTGAAGGTTCAACAGAGTCGAGCCTACTTGAGGGATTGGTTCGTTGGGTCAGGAATGGACGCCTGACTCACCCAGGGGCAATGAAAATCAACGAAGCTCTTGCTTGGGTTTCTAGAAAGGGAGGCGGGGCTTTTCCTGCAACTTTAAATTGGAAAGATGTAAGGTGTGGAGTTGCTGTAACCTCTCGCTACTCCGAGGAGAAAACCAGGGAGAAAAGGGAGAAATATGGAAGAAAGGATCTTCCCAGAGGGAATGAAGTAAGAGCTTGAGGTCTCCATAGGGCAAGGGGACTGTGGACAGGCGAGGACCCTAGAGCTGGTCCCGGGGACAAGAGGACCAAGGCTGTGGGCACGGCTGCCAGGGGCACTGAGTGCCAGCCGGTGATGAGGCAAGGTTCCAAGGTAGAGCTTCTGAGGCCAAAGGCAAGGGTCCTGGGCATGCCCTGGTCAGGTCTTCCTTAAAAGTGTGGCCAACGTGGGGGTGCCATTGTGAAGTTTTCTGTCAAGGTGGATGGCTATCCTGGCTGGGTGGCTGCGACGGGACACCATATGCTGGGTGGCTTATAAACAACAGCAACTTCTTTCTCACAGCCCTGGAGGCTGGACGTTCGAGACCGGGTGCCGGCACGGTCGTGTGAGGGCCCTCTTCCAGGGTGCAGACTGTCCCCTTCTAGCTGTGTCCCCACAGGCAGGGAGGGGGAGCGCATTCTCTGCGGCCTCATAGAAGGGCACTAACCCCGTCCACGATGGCGCCCCCTTCTTGACCTAATCACCTCCCCCAATTTCCACCTCCCAACACCCTCGCATTGGGGTTGAGAAGGTCAGGCCAACTACAGGGTGTCCCTATGCACAGGTTGCCCGTTGCAGGGGTTCCAGGGTGAGCAAGGCTCACCCAGGATGGGTACCTCCGCCAGGCTTCGTCGCTGGCAGGGAGCAGCCCAGGAAGAGCAAGGCCTTGGCCTCGGCCTCACTCTGCAGCTGCGGGGCAGAGCGGGGCTGGGGGCGGCCACCTGGCAGCCCCCACAGAGGCTGTCCCCACACTTTCGTTTACGTCGGAAGCTGGTTAGTGTGGCACAGGCAGCTCTGCGGCCATGCCCACTGATCACCCCCAGCAGGGCCATCGGCAGCGCATTGTCTTTCTTCAGCAGTACTGGTGGGTCCCTTGGTCTCACAGGAGGATGTGACTGAACCCTGGTCCCAGCCTCATACCCGTAAGGAAACAGAATTGAATGTGGAAAGGTCACGGGGCAAGCAAATAAGGTCTGAACTGACCCAAAGGGCCCAAGATGACCTAGGTCAGTCACCAGCAGCTGGGTGCCTGAGAGATGGGCTGAATTCAACCATAGAGAAGATAAGAACTTGGATGAGAGGAACTATGTCTCATGCAAAATCGTGGAAAGAGAGCCACTCCCAGATGTTCCTTTTACATCTTTAAATGTCATTAACAGGGAACCTTACAAACATCTACAAATAACAAACCCAGCTCCTCGGGAACCTCTCTGAAAAAAAGAAAAGAAAATATATATTAACACCAGAAGACAGTAGCGGGAGGAAAGTTTAAACACAGAATTTCATACCCAGTTGGGTTGTTGTTCAGGTGTGAAGATGCCAGAAAGCCACCCTCAAGTATGTGTGGCTTCCATAAAAATATTGCCTCCAAGAGGCAAAAAATGTTAGACCTCTGAGAGGTATTGACAGTGAAGAGTGAAAATATCGTGTTGGAAAATCTTGGTGCTGAGCGTTAAAAGCAGGACGCCCTGGAAAAAGACGTCAGTTATAATAAGTATAGTTTGAAGTTAAAATTAAAAGCAAAAAACAGTGAAAGAAATAATCTGTGTCCTTTGAAAAAGATAAGATACTATACCTTAGAGAGAGTAACGAAGAAGAAGAATGCTCTTGGCTTATGGGGTTGAAATGATGTGGACTAAGAGCGCATGGGTGGGGGGTAGGGCCTATGTCCCATAAAAGGAAGTTAAAAGTTACTGTTCCGTTTTTTTTTTAACTTTGATAATTATAGGACATATGAGCTATTTTCTAACCTTGAAGTAACTACTGACTATTGAAAACAGGATGCCCATCTTCAAAATCACTGAGAAGATAAAAAGAAACTAACCAACCAATCAGTCTATCTAGCAAAGGAATAAATAGAATGAAGGTAGAAACCAAGCGTAGAAATGACAACAAAAAGTACGAAAAATTCAAACTTTCCTTTATGAACGAATATTTGCAGCTCACTTATAAAATAAACTTCAATTCTTTGTTGCTCATAAAGAACACACTTAGTGACAGAAATATTCATAGGAGGAGTCCCATGGTGATTCAGCAGACATATAGAAACCAAAAGAAAGTCAAAGTGTTAATGTTCATACCTAGCACTGTAGAATTTAAGAATAAAGCTATGCCCTGACAGTGTGGCTCAATGGGCTGTATGTCATCCTGCAAAGCTAAAGGTCACCAGTTTGATTCCCGGTCAGAGCACGTGCCTGGGTTGCGGGTTTGGTCTTCATAGGAGAGGCAACCAATTGATGTTTCTCTCCTTCTCTTTCTCCCTCCCTTCCCCTCTCTCTGAGAATAAATAAATAAAATCTTTTTTAAAAATTAAAAGAAAAAGAATAAAGCCACACATCAGGATTAAGAAGGTTGTTCCATGTTAATAAAAGAAAAACCATGAAGGCAAACAGTAGTCGTATGCAGTGAGTGACATTGTATAAAAGTACATCAGGTAAAATAGAACTCAAAGAGACATTGGCAACGATACAATGTAGTGGCAGACTTTAATCTAGTATTGGTTTGAACACATGAAGTAGGCAAAATATAAATTAGGACATAGAATTATTAAAGTAATACAGGGTCCGGCAGAAATACTGCCATTGAGTGTGGTTGGTAGGGTACATGAATGTCTCGCACGGAGGGACAGCAATTTGAACATTTCACCTAAAATATCATATGGCATGCTTGAGTGTGATGTTGTTATGTTACCAAATTACATGCTTATGATTTTGTAATAAAAGATTTTTATGTAATAAAACAGGGGTGTTATTTGTGCCGGACCCTGTAGAATGAATACAATTTCATTCATAGCTCTTAGATTCGTTTTTGTTTTGTTTTTTTAAAGATTTTATTTATTTATTTATTTTTAGAAAGGGGAGAAGGAAGGGAAAAAGAGAAGGAGAGAAACATCGATGTGTGAGAAATATATTGATTGGTTGCCTCTCACATGCCCCCAACTGGGGACCTGGCCCACAACCCAGGCATGTGCACTGCCTGGGAATCAAACTTGTGACCTGTTGATTAGCAAGCCAGCACTCAATCCACTGAGCCACTCCAGCCAGGGCTGGATTTGGTTTTAAACCAATAGGTAATCCACTTGTTCTCAAGTATTGAATAAATAGCTGTCAAAATAATTATCTGCCTAGCAAGAATAAAACCTCCCATTAAAAAAAAAGAGAGAGAGAGAAATTATGTTGGCTATATTATCTGACCACAGTACACAGAAACCTAGGAAATGAAAAAATAGAATTGGCTATTTACAAAGAAGTGAAGTCAGAAGTACACAACAAAACGCATGGGACAGGATCAGGAAGGACAAGAATTTTCTGGATTGGTTGCTTAAAAAACAATTTCACAGGATGCAGCCAAAACTATTCTGAGAGAAACATAGTCCTAGCAGCTTTCTTTTCCCTTTGTATGAAATATTTTAATGATTATGAGCCATTGGCTATTACAGACTTAAATAGCTAATCCTTCTTTCCTATGTAAAACCAGATCATTAAAACTGTCTCTCTCCAGTAGGACAGAGCACCACAGCATGAATGACAGTAACAGGGCTGTCTGCTTACAGAGCTGCAGGTTTCACCAAGACCTGGAGCGCGCTCCTGGTTTCACAAGTCAACAAAGCAAATTCAGTTCCCCTTTTTTCCTGGTGGTAGTTTCGGTTGGAAATACAGCAAATACTACTTCGCCTTTCAATAGCTCTTCTTATCCATCACACAAGCCGCCACCTCTGCCAGCCCCTTCATCTTCTTTTTACCACAGGAAACTATGTAAATGAATTAAGCACTCAATTTGAACATTTCGGGGAAAAAGGTCGTAGAGAAATCAGAAAAAAAAAATTATAAATATTAAAGCAGAAATACGTGAATTAAAAAAGAGGAAAACACCAGAATTAATCAATTTAATCGCTGGTTCCTGGGGGAGGGGAATAAATTAAACAAAGCATGAATCTCTAACAATTATGATCAAGAGAGAAAGAGTCAAATGATCATAACTAGTAATAAAAAAAAGTGTTAAGCTTAGATGGAGAGAAGAGAAAAATAGGAAGAAGCTACCTTATCACCTGTGTGTTAATCCATTTAAAAAAACCTTGATGTATTTGATGATTTGGGGGCAAAACCTAATTTACCGTGATTGATACAAAAGTTGACAGAAGAAGTATTAATTAGACCAACAACAATGAAAAACACTGAGAGTGTTATCAAAGAATGACTCAACGGGCTCTAGCTTATGTGAAATTTCAAGAAACAGATAAT